AAAAAAAAAAAAAAAAAAAAAAAAAAAAGAAAGGGTGAAAAAATTGTTGAAAACTGTTTGGCAGCAAATAAAAGGTGATTTTCGTTTCACTGCGTTACAGCGTTCTCTCCGTAAGAAAATGTTGACAGCTAATGTTTTCAACAAATAATAGCTTAAAAATGGTAAATGAAAGAAAAAAAAAAGAAAGGGACAGAAGAATCAACAAAAAAAAAAGAAACAACCGAACAATAATTACGATTAAATTTGTCGCTAAATAACTCTGACTAAAAAAAGACAGATCAGATAAAAATAAGAAAGAAAACTTTTACCGCCTACACTTTTCGCCTTTTCAAGTTGAATTTACCAATTATATAAATAACAAAGAATAAAAAGAACAATAATAGTATGCCACTAATATTATTTTACATTATAAAAAATTGCAAAAAGTAAAGTGGACAACTGAAAAGAGCGAAACTAAATGTTCACTACGTCAGTCCAAACAGCAGTCGGGTCGATAGACGACAGTGCTACGGTACCGCCAATGTATTTGGTGCTTCGGTTGTACCGAAGACAGAATACTTTAGAAATTGACATTCCTAAACCAGTTGTGACCCGACTAAGTAAGAAATCTGTAAACTTATTAAAAAAATTATTTGCAAAAAAAAAAAAAAGGAAAATGAGAATGAAAAGATAAAAGTATAAGATGATAAATGAATACTGCGAAAATAAGTAAGGATAAAAATAAAAATGAAATAAAAGAAAAAGTGCAAAAGCAAAAGAAAAGAAGAAGAAAAGCGTTGTAAAAGATTAAATTTCCTTCGATAGCTATATTAATCCTTTAATGGCATATTTCATTTCCTTCAGCTCTCAACAGACATCAGTAGATGCAAGACAAAATACAGAAGACCGATAACTGCCAGAAGAAGAAAAGCGAGAAAAATAGCTAAAAAAAAAAAATACTGTTCCTTGAAGAATTTTTTTTCCGCTCCCTCTTTGTTTTAGCATTAGCTTCTTTCCTCCTTTTTAGTATTGAAAAAAAAATTGGAATCCTAACACAAAATCAACAACTAACAATCTAGATAAGTAGATAAATGGACAGATTACTGATCTTGTCTGTATATTAATATGTAGCCGCCAAACAATGCATAAGCGGCTAAGTTAATGAAAGCTAAAATTTAATTGCACAGAATCGTTAAAAATTCAAAAAAATAAAAATAAAAAATAAAAGCACAAAAGAATAAAACTGAGGGAAAAGAATTGGAAAGAAAAGGAGAAGCCATCGGTTATTTAGCAGTGTTTTTGTGTGTGTATTTGCGTGTGTGCGTGTCTGCGGGTCTGTGTCTGCGTGTTTTTGTGTCTGTGTGTCTGTGTCACACATTCCATAAAACCACTGTGGATAATGAGAGTTTAGAAACCCCAGAAATGTAACAACTGCCCTAAATGAGTGCGTAAAATAACATATCAAGCCAGAATTAATGTCACTGATCAAAACACTTTTTTTTGCACCCTTTACTTTACAATCACCTCAGTGGCTCAGAAAGGAACCAATAAATTAAAATTATTAATTTCATATCACCATTTTGTACTCGTAAAACTGCTGCTGCTTTGTAACTATCGTCACCGTTACTAATTCAATACGTTTCTTTATCTTTTCAAACATTCACAACTTTATATCCACCATTGCTCTGTAGCACTGGCAGTAAACAAATGAGAAAAACGAAATATAATTTGGTGCCTTAATAAAGTGCGAAAACAGACAAGCTAAATGTAAACTATAATATAAATTAAAAAAAAGCTTAATAAGCTTAAAGTAGTATCAGACACTACTAAATGCACCAAAATTTACAATTTTTAGCTGTGGACCATCCTTAATTGCTAATCTAAATAATGTAAGTAGCTTTCAAAAAACAAAAAAAAAAAACTAAAAAAAAGTAAAGAAAAAATAAAAAATAAGCCTAATAAACAGAATCGTTTACTAGACTTCAAAAAAATATTGAAATCTCTTCAAGATCTATAACAAGTAAAGTTTTTTTCTTAAAACATAATGTTTTCATCACTGGAATGACGTAGTTAATACTGTTACAAAGATTGCTTCAGTACAAAGCTCAGTAGACTTGTCGACTGTCGTTTGATAAAGTTGAAAAACTGAGTGCGAAAAGTGCGAAAAGAACAAAAAATTAAGTATTCAGGTAATTTCAATAGACGATGACACAACACTTACACGAGACGTCCAACTGCCTCCTCTCTGTGGCCTCTGTAAATCCTGGAAAAGATGTACACTTCCGCCATTTCTTACTATTGGTAGTGCAACCATATGTCCACTACTTGTGGTACCATATTTAGAATCACTTAAACTTCGGTGGATCCGTTGCGCTTTACCGGAACCGCGCATCCGGTACGGTGGCGGAGGTGGCAGATATGAGCAGCTTGAGCCGGTGCTAAGCGTACTCGAGAAACCGGAATCGCTGTAGTGGGTAACATACGAAAGTACGGGACGAGATGAGCTTGCAGTGGTGCTCCTTGAATAGCAGCAAAATAAAAGGCGGTATTAATTACCTGCACCATATTCTCTATCCTAGTCAGTGAATTAACAACAACAACAGCCATATAAGCGGTTACTCTTTCTCTTACTCTTTTCCTTCTTATTACTCTTACCAAAAACAGCTAAAATATTATGCAGCAACAAAAAATAATTTTTTTTCACTCTTCTAGTAAATTTAAGCTTATTCTGATTCAAAAAGAATACTGTCGACAGCATACTTTACAAAACTAGCCTACCAAAAACAATCGTCTTCGTACGGTCCGATAAGTGAAAAATTTTGTAAACCCGCTATTGAATAGTGAATAAAAGTTACATATTTTTTTGAAGTCTTCTCAAAGTCGGTTTTCAAAGATCTGCCGTTTCACTTTTTTTAAAGCTTTTGTTTTTCATCACCATCCCATCACCCCTCCCGTTTCCTCAGTTCACTTCTTCCCGTATTCTTTCCCAACAATTATCCAGTATTTGGATGATTTGAATAGCCAAATATATAGAAAAATTAGAGAAGAAAATGAAAACTGGCTAAGTCGTAGACAAAAATAAAAATGTGGGCGAAGAAGCAACTCTTCAACAGTTGCACTATCAAAATTCAAATAAATTAAAGCCAAACATGCGAACGCCTAGCTTCTCAAATTGAGTATATTATTTCAGCGTAAAATTTTAAATATAATTATAATGAACTACCCTAATCGGACGACGATGGCGATGATAAAATTATGACAATAACAATAAAGATCATTTGCTGCACTAATAAAATACGAAAAAACAATAAAAGCAAATCTATTAAAGCCGTGTTTAGAAAGTATTTAAATCCGCTTTTGTGTTAATGTAAAAAAGATAAAGCAAACAAAAAATAAAAAAAAAACTGAGAAAAAAAAGACGAAAAATTCACAGCTGTTACCTATTATCTTTAAAAATTGTACTACCAGCACTTCCATTAAAGGAAACAAGCGACTGTCCACTTTGCATAATACCAGCAGCTCCAAATAAGGTGGGTGAAGCTGCTGGTTGCGTTAACACAGAAGTATCAGTTTGCAGTGGAGTTTGGTTAATATCTTCAGGTACAGACGACATTGTTCTCTTTTTTTTTTTTATTTTTTGCTACTTTTCTGCCTTACTCTGTTTCTGTTTCCCAAATATCGTTTTAGTGGTAATAGTAATAATAAACGATACTGGAACTGATCCTGATAATGAAGTTCAGGCAAAAAAATTACTTTTTTTTCTTTTCAACAACCAACGAAAGAACTTTTTTGTTTTTTTTCATGCAGAAGCAGTTCTCAAAGAACGACATGTGAAGATACTGTGCATAGAATATCAGATCAGATTGCAGTGTAAACAAGCTGTATTCGATGTAAGCAAAAACTACATATTCCAAATGTAGATTGTCAACTCTAAAGCGCAAATTACTGCGCAAACATTGGCTAAAAAAGGGGCTCTAGCTAAGCCTTGAAAATGATGGACCCCGAAATGGTAGATCGTGTATAGAAGCTTGAATATAATATAAATAGTCGAAGCTAAGAAACGAAAAATAGAAGGTAGAAAATTAGATATAAAGCCAGAAAACAACAGTGAAATTTTGTTTCTTCTTCTTGTTGTTCTTCGTTTTTTTTTTCTTCAACCACACTAACAGCAGTTGAAAGTTTATCTATCTCCTTTTTTTTTCGTAGCTCTATAATTTCAGTCACTTTCGCCAAATCATCAATTATCCAAGGCAGAGGTAAGGAAAAGTATATTATACAGTAAATATACAGCGAATTAACATTCCAAAAATACTCCAGCAAACTTCTTTGGATGTCGTCAGATCAAATATTAGTGCAAGCTCAGTGACCGGCTAAAATAAGAAAAAAAAGACGAGGAAACTGGAAAAGTCGGACATTAACTTCAGTTGCCTGTCAATTAAAGCAAAAATCTTTCAGTTACTGTTATCGTTAAGTGCAAAATTTACAAAACAACAAAGTTTAGCGAGTTTAAGCCAAGCGACAAATGAAGAAATAAACATACTAAACCTAAAAAATGATTAAATAACATTAAGAAATTATTTTTAAAAAAATCCTATATCGTAAATGTTACCTCAGTAAAAAGAAAAAGTAAGGAAGTTTTAAAATTAAGAATGCTTCCATAATAGACATGAACAAATACAGAAACGCAAAAATCCACGCTCAAATACACATAGATGTACATGAGAGTGAAGAAGAACGGTTTGATGTGGATTTGACGATGACGGAGAAAAAACTTCAGTTGTTTTTTCGGTGAAAACAAATGTGCCTGTTGGGCATGTACAGATAGACAGGAATTTTTTTAACAAAAGGCAACAAGTAAAGGATGCCTAAACATTAAATCCAAGCAATGGCTAGGCTACAAAACAATCTTGCCGCTTGTAGTTGTCAGTTGTATGTACGTTTGTGTGCCGATGTATCTCTGTGTCGGCGTGGATGATCTGTATTCGTCTGTATGTCTAAGTGTGTGTGTATGTGTGTTTGTGTGTGTGTGTGTATCTGTGTGTGAACATATTCCTGATTGTGATCTGCTGATCCCCACCTTTAAAAAAAAAAAGAACAGCTCCGGGTGATAGCAGAAAAACTGCAGATAAGCAAGCAGCAGCAAAGAGCAGTAGTTGCCCAAGCCAAGAAAAATGCTGTTGGTGCTGTTGATAATAATGGTGATGGTGGTTGTAGTGGTGGCCGTGATACAAGTGTGGATGCTGTTCCTGCTGCTATTGCTGCCGCTGTTGTTGCTGCTGTTTCTGTTGCTATTGTTGTTGCTGTTGTTGTTGTTGTTTTGTTGTTGTTTTGTTGTTGTTTTGTTGTTGTTGTTGCTGCTGCTGCTCTTGCTGCAGCCAACTATGACGACGATGGCGATGATGATACGAAAAGCGTTAGCAGAAGAAATGCCACAACTGTTAAGATATTAAACTGAAGACAAGCTGAGAGATAGTAAAAACATAAGATATCTTCATCCACTTAGTCTGTATTATTTATTTCACTTTTTTCTTACTTTTCTATTGTGTTATACTTGTTTGATCTTATAGCGTCTTTATTCTTTGAGGAACAGGCGAAACAACGAGAAGAGCAGAAAACAAAATAGAACTACATTCAAATTTGTAGATGTAACAAAAGTTTGTTCACTTTAAAATTTTTTCCAATGAAAAATATGAAGTTCAAAAACAGTGTTTTTTTAGTAAACAAATCTTTTGCACAAATTGAGGCTGTATTTCTTAAAGAACGAATTTTGAACTTTTCTTATCCAATTATTTTTGTAAAATGTCACAAAAAAAAATAAAAACAAAAATCTTGAAACAAAATATGGTCAAATTGGACAGTGCAAAGGATCGCTCAAAAGGTAATCAAAATACTGGTTTAGTTGGTGGCTAAGCAAATAGCTAGGGTTTGCTGATCAGCAGATCAACGGAATCACCAATCGCAAGCGGACGAACCAATCGACGAATAGGCAGGTAAGCAGACACAGAACAGACAATCAGACAGTCAGACAGACAGACAGACGAGCCTAGAAGCAAACGTACAGACAGGTACGTGCCAAGTTGGCTGGAGCTGTGGATAACCGACGAAGCGCTACAACAACTGCTTTAACTACTTCTAATTTATAACCTCAACAATTAGTTTGGCTTGCCAAATGGCGGTTTCGTTCCGAAAAGTAGAAAAATTCCAAGCATTTTTTGAAGTTTTACTATAAAACGCTTCGAAACAAAATTTCATTCTGTTTTAATTTGAGGATGAAAAGCTAAATCCCGTATACACAAAATTTTTTGCCACTGTATCATAACTGTTTCTTCTTCTTTAATAGCAGCACCAGCGTCAGCACCAATACCACCACCACCACCAGCACCACCACCACCACCACCACCACCACCTCCAACAGCAACAGCAAAAACAACAACAACAGCAACCGTTACACAGTGATAATAATAGAAGTTCTTGATATTATAATAATAATTATTGCTATTATGGTAATAACAGTTTTTGAGGCTTTTTTTATTCTGAATAACAAAAAAACACTGGGTACAATTTTGCATTCGAGTTAAGCAAATAAAAAATGTTAAGAAAAAAAACAAAAAAAAGAACATTAAAAAGTTTTTATTTAAGAAATCATTTAAGTGTCAAAAAATTTGTTTGATTTGGACTGTTACTTGTTAAGCTTACCTTCT